GGGGGAGGGGAAATTGTGCTGGGAGGGGGAAATTTGGGAGTGGGGGGGAGGATTTGTGTTCAGAGGAGAAATATGAGGGGCAGGGGATTTGTGCTAGGAGGGGGAATTTTGGGGGCAGGGGATTTGTGCTAGGAGGGGGAATTTTGGGGGGAGGGGATTTGTGCTAGGATGGGAGATTGCGTGAGGGGAAATTGTGCTGGGAGGGGAGAATTTGGAGTGTGGGGGGGGGATTTTGTGCTCAAAAGCAGAAAATTTGAGGGGCAAGGGAATTGTGCTAGGAGGGGGAATTTTGGAGGCAGGGATTTATGCTAGGATGGGCTATTGGGGGAGGGGAAATTGTGCTGGGAGGGGGAAATCTGGAGTGGGGGAGAGAAGATGTGTGACTGGGCTATGGTGGTGGATTGGGGGAGGGGAAATTGTGCTGGGGGGGGGGATTTGGAGTGGGGGGGAGGATTTGTGCACGGAGGAGAAATATGAGCGGCAGGGGATTTGTGCTAGGAGGGGGAATTTTGGGTTCAGGGATTTGTGCTTGGATGGGGGATTGGGGGAGGGGAAATTGTGCTGGGAGGGGAGAATTTGGAGTGGGGGGAGAGAAGATGTGTGCCTGGGCTATGGTGGTGGATTGGGGGAGGGGGAATTGTGCTGGGAGGGGGAAATTTGGAGTTGGGGGGGAGAGGACGTGTGCTTGGAGGAGAAATTTTAGGGGCAGGGGATTTGTGCTAGGAGGAGGTTTTTTTTTGGGGGGGGGGGATTTGCGATGTATGCATATGGAGACAGAACATTTGATCTGTGGTGGATTGGGGGGGGTAAATATTTGTGCTAGGAAGGAAGGATTTCAGCAGGGGGGTGGATTTGTACTGGGAGGGGGATTAATTCTTAGGGAGTAAGAATGCAGATTGGTGCTTGATTTTTTTTTAGGGGGAAGATTGTTTTTGCTGACACATAATGCTCATTTGTCTTGGGGGGGCACAATTTGGCGTGTTCTCCCTGGGCTCTAGATGACCTTGTTCCGGCACTGGTGCACATGTGTGGGTGATGGGTTGGGTGAACTTCCTCTCTAATGTCCAATCAGAAGCCATTTTAACTTTTTACTTTTTATTAGTATTCCTGGTGATCCTGCCATGAAGGCATCTGTTCAGACACTTCCTGTAGTAGGGTGACAACTGTCTGTCCCTGTCTCCTATGTTCTCCTGTGTTGTCACCCAGTAATACAGGCTTATAATGGATACTACTTGGAGATGTTTTAGCACATATTACACGGGGATGGTCATCATCAAGAAACTCAAGAAACGCCATGCAGCCATCAATGGAGGGGGATGTAGATTGGAAGTGGCTGCAAAGAGGCAGCAGGAGATCAGCAGCACTGAGATGAAACAAAGGATGAAAGAAAGTGAATAAAGTGACAAACACAACTGTCCTTTTTCTTTGCAATAGAGGAATGGATGCCCCTCAGCCCAACCCCAGGAGTCCAATATGAAGGATGGCCTCAGCCACCATGCCCGCTGACGCATTTCACCCTGCCCACCAGGGTTTGATCACAGAGGCCTCTGTGGCCCCCAGTGGGCGGGGTGAAACACATCAGAGGGAATGGCCATAGCAACGGTTGAGGCCATTCTTCATATTGGACTTAGGGGTGTCCATTCCTCTACTGCAGGGGTCTCCAAACTTTCAAAGCAAAGGGCCAGTTTACTGTTCTTTGGGGTTTAGGGGGTCTGATTGATTGAGTTTGTAGGGGGAATGGTGCCACATCATTGGTGTCAGTGAGAGGAATAGTGCTCCATCATTGGTGTCAGTGAGAGGAATAGAACCCCATCATTGGTATCAGTGGGAGGAATAGTGCCCCATCATTGGTATCAGTGGGAGGAATTGTGCCCCATCATTGGTGTCAGTGGGAGGAATAGTGCCCCATCATTGGTGTCAGTGGGAGGAATAGTGCCCCATCATTGGTGTCAGTGGGAGGAATTGTGCCCCATCATTGGTGTCAGTGGGAGGAATAGTGCCCCATCATTGGTGTCAGTGGGAGGAATAGTGCCCCATCATTGGGATCAGTGGGAGGAATAGTGTCCCATCATTGGTGTCAGTGGGAGGAATTGTGCCCCATCATTGGTGTCAGTGGGAGGAATTGTGCCCATCATTGGTATCAGTGGGAGGAATAGTGCTCCATCATTGGTGTCAGTGGGAGGAATAGTGCCCCATCATTGGTATCAGTGGGAGGAATAGTGCCCCATCATTGGTATCAGTGGGAGGAATAGTGCCCCATCATTGGTGTCAGTGAGAGGAATAGTGCCCCATCATTGGTATCAGTGGGAGGAATAGTGCCCTATCGTTGGTGTCAGTGGGAGGAATAGTGTCCCGTCATTGGTATCAGTGGGAGGAATAGTGCCCCATCATTGGTGTCAGTGGGAGGAATAGTGCCCCATCATTGGTGTCAGTCAGTGGGAGGAATAGTGCCCCATCATTGGTATCAGTGGGAGGAATAGTGCCCATCATTGGTATCAGTGGGGGGAATAGTGCCCCATCATTGGTGTCAGTGAGAGGAATAGTGTCCCATCATTGGTGTCAGTGGGAGGAATAGTGCCCCATCATTGGTGTCAGTGGGAGGAATAGTGCCCCATCATTGGTGTCAGTGGGAGGAATAGTGCCCCATCATTGGTGTCAGTGAGAGGAATAGTGTCCATCATTGGTGTCAGTGACAGTAATAGTGCCCCATCATTGGTGTCAGTGGGAGGAATAGTGCCCCATCATTGGTGTCAGTGGGAGGAATAGTGCCCCATCATTGGTGTCAGTGGGAGGAATAGTGCCCCATCATTGGTGTCAGTGAGAGGAATAGTGCCCCATTATTGGTGTCAGTGACAGGAATAGTGCCCCATCATTGGTATCAGTGGGAGGAATAGTGCCCTATCGTTGGTGTCAGTGGGAGGAATAGTGTCCCGTCATTGGTATCAGTGGGAGGAATAGTGCCCCATCATTGGTGTCAGTGGGGGAATAGTGCCCCATCATTGGTGTCAGTCAGTGGGAGGAATAGTGCCCCATCATTGGTATCAGTGGGAGGAATAGTGCCCCATCATTGGTATCAATGGGAGGAATAGTGCTCCATCATTGGTATCAGTGGGGGGGAATAGTGCCCATCATTGGTGTCAGTGAGAGGAATAGTGTCCCATCATTGGTGTCAGTGACAGGAATAGTGCCCCATCATTGGTGTCAGTGGGGAGGAATAGTGCCCCATCATTGGTGTCAGTGGGAGGAATAGTGCCCCATCATTGGTGTCAGTGAGAGGAATAGTGTCCCATCATTGGTGTCAGTGACAGGAATAGTGCCCCATCATTGGTGTCAGTGGGAGGAATAGTGCCCCATCATTGGTGTCAGTGGGAGGAATAGTGTCCCATCATTGGTGTCAGTGAGAGGAATAGTGCCCCATTATTGGTGTCAGTGGGAGGAATAGTGCCCCCATCATTAGTGTCAGTTGGTGGAATGGAGCCCCATCATTGGTGTCAGTTGGTGGAACGGTGCCCTATCATTGGTGTCAGTTGATAGAATGGTGCCCTATCATTGGTGTCAGTTGATAGAATGGTGCTCCATCATTGGTGCCAGTTGTTGGAATGATGCCCCATCATTGGTGCCAGTTATTGGAATGGTGCCCCATCATTGGTGTCAGTTGTTGGAATGGTGCCCCATCATTGGTGTCAGTTGTTGGAATGGTGCCCCATCATTGGTGTCAGTTGTTGGAATGGTGCCCCATCATTGGTGTCAGTTGTTGGAATGGTGCCCCATCATTGGTGTCAGTTGGTGGAATGGTGCTCCATCTTTGCTGTCAGTTGGTGGAATGGTTCCCCATCATTGGTGTCAGTGGGAGGAATAGTGTCCCATCATTGGTGTCAGTGGGAGGAATAGTGTCCCATCATTGGTGTCAGTGGGAGGAATAGTGCCCCATCATTGGTGTCAGTGGGAGGAATAGTGCCCCATCATTGGTGTCAGTGGGAGGAATAGGGTCCCATCATTGGTGTCAGTGAGAGGAATAGTGCCCATTATTGGTGTCAGTGACAGGAATAGTGCCCCATCATTGGTATCAGTGGGAGGAATAGTGCCCTATCGTTGGTGTCAGTGGGAGGAATAGTGTCCCGTCATTGGTATCAGTGGGAGGAATAGTGCCCCATCATTGGTGTCAGTGGGAGGAATAGTGCCCCATCATTGGTGTCAGTCAGTGGGAGGAATAGTGCCCCATCATTGGTATCAGTGGGAGGAATAGTGCCCCATCATTGGTATCAATGGGAGGAATAGTGCTCCATCATTGGTATCAGTGGGGGGGAATAGTGCCCCATCATTGGTGTCAGTGAGAGGAATAGTGTCCCATCATTGGTGTCAGTGACAGGAATAGTGCCCCATCATTGGTGTCAGTGGGAGGAATAGTGCCCCATCATTGGTGTCAGTGGGAGGAATAGTGCCCCATCATTGGTGTCAGTGAGAGGAATAGTGTCCCATCATTGGTGTCAGTGACAGGAATAGTGCCCCATCATTGGTGTCAGTGGGAGGAATAGTGCCCCATCATTGGTGTCAGTGAGAGGAATAGTGCCCCATTATTGGTGTCAGTGGGAGGAATAGTGCCCCATCATTGTGTCAGTTGGTGGAATGGAGCCCCATCATTGGTGTCAGTTGGTGGAACGGTGCCCTATCATTGGTGTCAGTTGATAGAATGGTGCCCTATCATTGGTGTCAGTTGATAGAATGGTGCTCCATCATTGGTGCCAGTTGTTGGAATGATGCCCCATCATTGGTGCCAGTTATTGGAATGGTGCCCCATCATTGGTGTCAGTTGTTGGAATGGTGCCCCATCATTGGTGTCAGTTGTTGGAATGGTGCCCCATCATTGGTGTCAGTTGTTGGAATGGTGCCCCATCATTGGTGTCAGTTGTTGGAATGGTGCCCCATCATTGGTGTCAGTTGGTGGAATGGTGCTCCATCTTTGCTGTCAGTTGGTGGAATGGTTCCCCATCATTGGTGTCAGTGGGAGGAATAGTGTCCCATCATTGGGTGTCAGTGGGAGGAATAGTGTCCCATCATTGGTGTCAGTGGGAGGAATAGTGTCCCATCATTGGTGTCAGTGGGAGGAATAGTGCCCCGTCATTTGTGTCAGTTGGTGGAATGGTGCCCCATCATTGGTGTCAGTTGGTGGAATGGAGCTCCATCATTGGTGTCAGTTGGTGGAATGGAGCTCCATCATTGGTGTCAGTTGGTGGAATGGTTCCCCATCATTGGTGTCAGTTGGTAGAATGGTTCCCCATCATCGGTGTCAGTTGGTAGAATGGTGCCCCATCATTGGTGTCAGTTGGTGGAATGGTTCCCCATCATTGGGTGTCAGTTGGTAGAATGGTTCCCCATCATCGGTGTCAGTTGGTAGAATGGTTCCCCATCATCGGTGTCAGTTGGTGGAATGGTGCCCCAAGGGCCAGATAAGAGCAAGCAAAGGGCCACAGTTTGGAGCCCATTGCTCTACTGCTCCCTCTTTCAATACCAGAGTGGTGATCTCTTCCTACTTCCCAGCTTGGAGCGGCACCAGGTTGACACATGACAACGCACCTTTATAATGCTACCAAAAAAACCACAATCTGTGCACACACATGTATCTAAGGCTATGTTTACACATGCATTGCCTCAGTCAGATCGCTTTTCAGAGGTGTTTTAACTTCATAAATAATGTGCCATCTAACTGCAACCACATGCATTGTTTCAGGGTGGCCCCATTTGCTGAAATGTGCCGTATTTGGCAGATGATAGTGTCACCTCCCTTTCGCTGTTTTAACGATGTGAAGAAAAAAAAACGCACATAAAAAACCCCCCACTTATCCAAGTGCTGCCATACCTCTCATAAGCAGTCCATAGTCAGATCGCTTTTCAGAGGCATTTTAACCCCATCAATTCTGCACCACCGCACCACAATTCCAGGGGTGGTTGCAGCGCAGCCTCATTTAACTTAATTGGGTCGCGTTCTGCAGGTGTCAGCGCCCAAACATCTCAGGGAGTTCAATTCTTGCAAGCAAAGTATTGGAGCCATGGCAGGTGTACACCTCCCAAGAGGGAGCGGTTGTGGGGTGGTAAAAACCAGCCCCAGGAATCACAACAGTACAATCAGCCTGTAGATGCAGTAAAGCATGCTTGTTATACTCACTGTGGGACCTAAGGGGTTAATCCTCTGCATTGTGTACAAATGCTGTTTTATCCTGTCTTCTCTGATCCTCCTCTTCTTCTGCTTTCCCCAATCCATCTGCTGATAATACAGAGCCCTAGGAGTCACTCTGCACATGCTCAGTTTAATGTGTATTGCTGGAGATTTTTTTATTTTTTTTTGTCTGGACAGTGTTGATTGGTCTTGTGCTCATCACATGCATCTAGAGAGTCAGGGGTCCTGCAGCCTCATAGGACAAGTTTTAACCAGTGCTCTGCTGGACAATGACAGAAGTCACAAGACTGCTATATACTGCTGATGAGAAAAGGTATTTAGCAGTTTATATTTACTAAAATAATTGCATTTCCATGTTCTGTGTACTGTGGGAGACCAGATATAGTGAATGCGGGGTCCGGGGAGAGTAGATATAGGGAATGCAGGGTCCGGGGGGAGAGCGGATATAGTGAATGCGGGGTCTGGGGAGACCGGATATAGTGAATGCAGGGCCCGGGGAGAGCGGATATAGTGAATGCAGGGTCCCGGGGAGAGCGGATATAGTGAATGCGGGGTCCGGGGAGAGCGGATATAGTGAATGCGGGGTCCGGGGAGACCAGATATAGTGAATGCAGGGTCCGGGGGGAGAGCGGATATAGTGAATGCAGGGTCCGGGGAGAGCGGATATAGTGAATGCAGGGTCCGGGGAGAGCGGATATAGTGAATGCAGGGTCCGGGGGAGAGCGGATATAGTGAATGCAGGGTCTGGGGAGAGCAGATATAGTGAATGCAGGGTCTGGGGAGAGAGGATATAGTGAATGCAGGGTCTGGGGAGAGCAGATATAGTGAATGCAGGGTCCGGGGAGACCGGATATAGTGAATGCAGGGTCCGGGGAGAGTGGATATAGTGAATGCAGGGTCCGGGGGAGAGCAGATATAGTGAATGCAGGGTCCGGGGAGACCGGATATAGTGAATGCAGGGTCCGGGGAGAGTGGATATAGTGAATGCAGGGTCCGGGGAGAGTGGATATAGTGAATGCAGGGTCCGGGGAGAGTGGATATAGTGAATGCAGGGTCCGGGGAGAGTGGATATAGTGAATGTGGGGAGAGAAATGTCAAAATTGGCCCGGTAGGGAAGTAGTTACCAGAACTTTATTGTAATGTTGTGAGTGACATTTTAATACATTTCTATTTGCCGCAGCGGCGTTGTGATGCGATTATTTGCATTGCAACCCACTTCGCAAAAAAAAAAGAAGGCTTCTCCATGCGTGTCATGTGAAAAAAGCATAAAAAAGCACGCCTAGGAAATGCTAGATGTGAATGCAGCCTAAGCCAACAGCGAATGGCAACACAATCCGCTTTTTTATGCTTTCATTTACAAAACGCAGCACTGCTATTCATTGTAAAATGTCACCCTAAATGTGGCAAAAAAAAGACGCATATTTGTTGCACGGTAAACGCAAAAAAAAACGCAAAAAAAGGCACAACGCTCAAAAAAAGGTAGAGGAGCTACTTTGCTGCGTTTGCCACTTGCAGGACAACCCTTTGAAATGGATGCAAAACGCGTAAAAGCGATGTGCGTTTTGAGAAACGCAAAATGCGAATGCAACCTTACTTTTACTCTCGCGCGTGTGTTTTTGGCCGTAGAGACTTCAGTGACATCACATGAAAAAACATTGATGAAAAAAAAGTGTGAGAATGAAGACGCAAAGCTGCGCTCATGCGCTCCAACACGTGCACGCCGTGACTGCAAAAGATATGTTTGCAAACAATTGCACAATCGCATGCGTTTGGTTTAGATTCGGAGGAGCGGGGAAGTTTCCTCTTTCTCTAATCAATATTCTGTTGGTTCTGCCTGAAAATTCCAATGTTATGGGTCGGCGCATATTTTGCGCTCATCAATAGATTGGGATATTGATGGCGGGGGAAGTCCCGGGCCGGTAAGGTGAGCAGTGTGTGGAGTTGGGATGGGGGGAGGCGTTGTGTGTTGGGGAGGGGAGGAGTGCAGTGCTGAGTGGTGAGTCACTGGCAGCACTCATGGAAGGATCAGCAGCCCCTCTACAGGAAGATCCCCCCTCCTAACCCAAGTCCACACTACCAGGAGAGCACCGGCCTGGACTACGCACGGTACATGGGACTGAACGTGAAGGACACGGGTCTTTATTCGACCTTACTAACTATGTAGCCATGTAGACCGGCAGGCACTTCTTCCCTGGACGTTGCTGCTCCACCGTCCGCTCTACAGCTGCTGCTGGAACTCGGGTACAAAGTAACTGCTGCACAGTCCAGGCCACACGTCCCATACGGGAGGCTGAGGGACCCTCATACCTACGAGGACTTTCCGAGCGGAGAGATTGACAGACGGCCAACAAAGGATCTGGAGCTGGAGAGACTTCCTTCTACAACCAAAACACAGACACCTGGAGAGACGTCAAAGGACAGATCCTTTATTGACGAGAAGGTCCTTCATAAATAGACACAACGAGAGGAGAGAGACCCCCGATCACTGACTTCTGACGAAGAGAGAGACCCTCATACACTGATATCCGGGGAGGAGAGGGATCCCCCATACACTGATTTCTGGAGAGGAAGGAAATACTTATGCACCGATATCCAGAGAGGAGTGAGAACCCTCCCCCCCCAATCACTTTCTTCTGGAGAAGAGAGAGACCCTCATACACCAATATCCAGGGAGGACAGGGATCCCCCAAACACTGATTTCTGGAGAGGAAGGAGATACTTATACACTGATATCCAGAGAGGAGAGAGAACCCCCCCAATCACTTTCTTCTGGAGAAGAGAGAGACCCTCATACACCAATATCCAGGGAGGAGAGGGATCCCCCATACACTGATTTCTGGAGAGGAAGGAGATCCTTATATACCGATATCCAGAGAGGAGAGAGACCCCCCCCCCCCCATCACTTTCTTCTGGAGAAGAGAGAGACCCCCATACACTGATATCCAGAGAGGAGAGAGAACCCCCCCCAATCACTTTCTTCTGGAGAAGAGAGAGACCCTCATACACCGATATCCGGGAACGAGAGGGATCCCCCATACACTGATTTCTGGAGAGGAAGGAGATACTTATGCACCGATATCCAGAGAGGAGAGAGACCCCCCCAATCACTGAGAGACCCTCATACATATCCAGAGAGGGCAGGGATCCCCCATACACAAGCACCTGGACAGAGACAATTCAACTGAAGAGAGACCCCAACTTCAATAAAATAGTGAGACCTTCATATACAATCACCCGGACAGACCCTTATTCAGAGGTGCCAACAGAGGAGAGCGCCCTATACTCCAAGTTCCATAAAAAAGAAAGACCCTGATATCCAGAGAGGAGAGAGACCCTCATAACCCGATATCCAGAGAGGAGAGAGACCCTCATACCCCGATATCCAGAGAGGAGGGAGACCCTTATACCCTGATATCCAGAGAGGAGAGAGACCCTCATACGCCAATATCCAAAGAAGAGAGAGACCCTCATACCCTGATATCCAGAGAGGACAGAGACCCTCATACGCCAATATCCAAAGAGGAGAGAGACCCTTATACACAGCACCTGGATAGAGACCCTCTTTCCAAGACACCTCAGCACATGAGAGACTCCTACACACTGACTTCCAGAAAAGAGGGAAGCCCTCACAAGCACCTGGGGAGAGACCTCCCCATACCCAGATCTCTGGAAAGGAGGGAATCCCATACGCAGGTCACTGGAGGAGGCCCTCATACTCAGCCTCCGCAAAGGAGACCCCTGTACGGGAGATCCCCACCATGGATGTCATAGCTGGATGACCCCTGGGAAGAGACTAAGGTAATACTTTGGATACCCCTAATATCAAACTGTTGTGTTGTCCTCTGTGTTTGTATGTACAGTACATCTTTCATCACAGATCCAATCTCACTAATGTAGATAATGCAGATATACCCGTCTAATAATCAGGTCATTACTTTCTATGTATTATTGATATGTATGGAGTATTAATAGCATTTTGCTGGTCAGTTTTGCTGCTGAGGGCCAGCATGGCAGTTGTGTGGTGACTTTCAGTGTTGCAAACAAGATAAAAATAAACGGTGTTCCCAGTCATCTCTGACGTCTATTCCATCCCTAGTGGGTAACCCGACCCTAACATCTACATCGACCTCCTTCCTAAACTTCAACACCTAAATCCTCCCCCTTCCTAATA